AAGAAGAAGCCCTGCTGCAGGTTCGTACTTTCGAACGCAGATTTGGAAGCCTTCCACATCTCCCAAAAGTCAATTAAGTCCGTATGGGGGTACTAATGTTGTCCCTTAGGCCTCCCAAAAGGTTATTCCTTTTGTGTGGAGTGGGTTGAGTGAGGTGTGGATGATTCTCCACCAAGTCTTACTAAATAAGTACAAATGGGGTCCAACCCTTATCATTTTATTCTCTACACAACCCCACCCCATCATGGCCCGCCCCAAAAGTCAACATACCATATTCTCTTTGTCTCGTAAGTGACAAGGAGGTGTGGGACGAACCCCCTTCGGTCCAAGTCAGCCCGGAAGGAAAATCCTTACCGATAATTCCTTACGGAGGAAAATTGAGTCTTATTATTTGTGTCTTCGTAATGTGATTTCTCTCCATGTACTATCGGGATCTTATACTAACTAAGATGGCCCACATCAGTATTTGGAAACTCACTCTCGAAACACGGATCCCAACGATAGGTTAACAAACACAAGTTACATCAAACACTACTCATTTCACACAATGTCAAAGCATGAGTTACATACGATAACACATGTGTTACACACGGCTGGTGATAATAAGTTCAATACATAAATTACGAAACTTTTAAACAGTACATTCAAGTACACACGGGTGCGGTGTCACATAACATCTCCCGTTTATAGTAATTCTATATTTATACAATAGACATGTAACAATATACGAAGTGCCATATCAAACTCGTGTCTCCATATTGCCATGGACCCGGTCTGTAACCGGGATTGGACCGGATCCGTTATGGCGGTGTCGGATCAAGACCGCCAGGCCATTAACTTGACCGGGTATTTGGGGTACCCGGTCTCGAGTACAAATTTTTGGGACCGACCGGGTACACGGGACAGGACCGGTACCCTCTTAATACCTTTCGGCCTCCGCCAAATAGGAACCAAGACTGGTCGGTGCGGAACCAGAACTGGACCCATGCCTACTATGTCTATGCAATAAAGGAAATTAAGACATTATTGTATGATATCAGCATTTTGAAATTATATTATTATTTTCAAATAATAATAGGAAGAACTTATGCTTTTATATTTATAACAACATACAAATAAAAAGAATAACAATAGGTAATAAATAATAATAATAATAACCATAAAAATATTGATAATAGTAAAATGATAATAATAATAATAATAATAATAATAACAATAATAATAATAACAATAACAATAATAATGATATTGATGATGATCAATGATGATGATGATGATGATGATGATGATGATAAAGTTAATGAGTCGTGGCCGAACTTTTCTGATATGAATTTCTTTAATCTAACCTAATTTGAATGTTTACGGTCTGATATGATTTAAGTAAAACAAAAATAAAAAAATAAGCAATAAAGTGAAATGATAATAATAGTAATGATTTTCATTTCACTAATAAAAGTGTCTATGACTAAATCTTTGCAGACACGAGAACTCGAAACCCTGCGGTTGAGTTTTAGTCATAATAATAATAATAGTAATAATAATAATATATAATAATAGTAATAATAATAATATATAATAATAATAATGGTAATAATAATAATAAATATAATAATAAAAATAAAATAATAATAATAATAGCAATAAAATTTACATAAAGTTGAATTTTTATCTTCTACGTAACCCATAATGTATTGTACATAGGAAAAATTTATAATGCAAAATTAAGTGAAAACATTGAATAAAAGTGCCAAGGTCAAAGCAATCTAAGTTCATAGAATAATTAAAATGCCAAGGCCATATAAAGAATGTTGGGAACCAAACGTTTCAGTTATAACGGAGTTAGAGGAGCTATAAAGACTATGATGAATGGTATAATGACTAAAACAAAATGTACAAGTGTAGATTGCTTTAGTGTTACACCAACATTTTTATCATTTCTAAAATGCTCTAACTATCATTGGTGCTTATAATGCTAACTAGCGATTGCTCGCGCAAGGCGCAAGAGCATTTGCCCAATATTTAAGTATTTGTTTTCTAAATAACTATTACATGTGAGATTGTTGTGATTATTTATGATACATTAAAAAATAGTGCTTGAGAGTAGCAAAAAAAATGTGTAAAATAGTCATCACAATTTTTAATTATCTCTGAATAATATGTAGTATATATTTATAAGATTATAGTAATAGACTCTAATTGTTATTATGTATTATATTCATTGGACAAAGAAAAATCAAGGATGACATAAGCATGCTTATTTGGTAAATTTATAGTAATTGGTATATTTCTAACAATTATTATACATATACTCGTTTTTCACTTTTATATTATGGTTTCAACTTGTATAAAATAAGTATTCATATACACATTACTAATGAAGTAAATTTTTTCTGGATAAAAATTAACTTCAATTTAATCATGATCCGTACAAAGCACGGGTGAATGACTAATTTTTAGGAATTAATTGTAGTTCTTTACAACTCCCTCCGTCCCATTTATATTGTCTCGTTTTACCTTTTCGGGAAGTCTCACTTAAATTATCTCATACCATATTTGGCAAAATTTCTGTGACTCTAAATCATTCTTACTTTATTCTTACTTTATCAATTAATATCAACCACACAAATCCACATTTCTTAATAACCGTGCCACCCTCTTCTGTCCCAATATAAATGAGACGGAGGTAGTATTTAAACAACTTTTTTATAGATAATATTTAAATAACTTAAAATATGAACCAATGATGACAAAACAACAAATGATAGTGCTTTATTCCTTCAAGAAATATAGGTGGAAGCTAGAGTTGAACTGCCGTCATTTTAGCTAACGGAAGTATAAGGATAAATTTGACCATATGTAATTATGTACATTAATTATATAAAAGAGTACAAGTATTAATGCATACAAGAGACTGACACAATACAAGGGTACTAACCTATATTCATAATTATAATGTTTTTTAGATAATGCCATATATAAAGAATGTTGGGAACCAAATGTTTCAGTTATAACGGAGTTAGAGGAGCCATAAAGACTATGATGAATGGTATAATGACTAAAACAAAATATACAAGTGTAGATTGTTTTAGTGTTACACCAACATTTTTATCATTCCTAAAATGCCCTAATCATCATTGGTGCTTAAAAGTTTTTAGATACTTTTAGGGCTACCATTCAGGTAAGCCTCCATATTATTCTCACAAACTAAACTAAAAGTACATACCAATTAAAAAAAACCTAAACCTACATAACTATAAAGATGATGAAACAGTTAATAATACAAGAGGGGGCGAATTGTGTGTGTGGAACCGTGGCAGTTTTTCACCAGGTTTTAGTGTGGAGCAACGGAAGAAGCAAAGTAAATGAGTACGCAAGGATTTAACGAGGATAAATCCATTAGCTCAAAAGGGATTAAAAAACCTCGACCTCACTCGGAGGAATTTGAAACAACTTCACTAAAGCCTTAAAATGGTTACAAGATAAACTCTACTAGTCTACCCTTGAGTCACGACCAACCCTATCCTCTCTAGGAAGAGTTGTGATTCTATACCTTGCGGGTAGAGAGCCTCTCAGCTTTACAACAAAGCTTCTCACAACACACATACCAACCCGGAGGATGTTATCAGCCGATCCACAAAACCCCATTACAATAGAAGGAAAAAGAAACTATATCTAGAACTCCTGTGTGAGCTGTTCCAGGCGCTTAGTCTTCTTGGATGCTTCAATGGAAATCTACTTCTATATTTTCTTCACTCAATCAAGCGCACCTTGATCTTCATTTTTTGTCTCAATATATAGATACCCACGCTTAATTCGTTGAGGCCTTCCTTCCTAGTATAGTCGAGTCTTCTTGCCTTGTTATAATCTGTAAACTTTGTTCATCAATGCAATAGACATTTCATCATTCTTGAGAGCTTCCATACATTTTCATCTATAGAAATCAGGGACCTAACAAGGTACAATTCATGTGCAACAAGGCATCATTGAAATGAAATCAAACACATGTCCATTATCTCCATGGCACTTGGATCTCAGCTTATTCTATCATAGTGATTCAAAAACCACTTTAATAAGATATATACACGCTGGATACTTGTCAAATCCTCAAAAGATGAAATCACAAATATGATATGTATTCACCTATTGAAATACAACAATTTCGTGGAGATCTATAAAGCAAACATTGACAGCTACATTACCAAATCATGCCGAGAGGATTGCACTATATGAAACTAGAAGAGAATTTGTGTGGGTATGATCTATGATTCAACACATCCAAAACCAATGCAGTATGAAGCCAATTACTTGTCATTCTACTGTGATCTATTAACATAACACAACATGCATAGCTCAGATTAAAGAAGGTTACATCAAAGGAGATATAATAAAGCACATTCACCAAAAAAAATTCTCTACTTATGATCGGGAGAAAGATGGGAAGATCAACGTTCAACAAATCAAATCAAATGAAATTCCAGCTGCTCTTCACGAAGTCATTGCCGCCGAAGAAATTTATAGAACTTGTACATAGAATAGGCATTCGCCAACTCAAAAATCTGTGCCAAGTTCAGGGAGATATTTGAATGCACCACACTCTTTTTTCCTTTATCAGGTATTTATCAACATGGATCTTTCTTGATAAGATAGGTTTATAACGAGATAGCACAATCAAATACATTGACATTACAAGTTGTACTCTTTCCCCCCTTAACATTGATTTTTCTCACAAAACTTTTCATAATAATAAGATAAGCATATATACCTATTCAAGGATATATGAACATTCAAGTGGGGGTGTTGTAAAATCCTGAACATTACAAGTGTGAATTGTTCATCTTGGTAATCAGGTCACTCATCTATTTTTAGTTTTCGTAATCAAGGATAGACAAATGACTTGATTTACCAGTTCCAGCAAAAGTGTGTAGAATTACTTAGGTATATATGATTCATCATCAAGCCCAATAAGTATAAATAGGGTCTGGATGAACTATTGTAAATTCATTTAGGAAATATCTTATGAAGAAGAATATCCTGAGATTATTAAATATATAGATATCACACTATATCTACTTTACACTTTCTTCATTTCACCACAAATATATATTATTAACTTACAATTATACAGTACAAGTATGCTACAAGAATGGTAAAGATAAATAGTTGATTAGACGAAGAAATTAGAAGTCATAGAAGCAGTTTGTTTCCTTCTAGGGGGTTGTCTTCATAATTTAACGTGCATGAGAAACCCTTGCGATACTTGGACGGTTTACAATGCATTTCAACATCCACTGAAAATATGGCACAAACGGGTCTGTGATCAGAGAATCTCGATTCCCCCCTTATATATGAAATCTGTTCCATTCCGTTTCCATGCCACAATATTCTGTCACACCTGCAACTTCATCATCATTAAAAACATAGAAGATATATAGTCGTATAAACTCCATGGTACCTGAGAGTACGAAATTTTACTCGTATATTTTAATCTCAATTATATAGAAAAATAATACATACATAGAAAATACAAAAGATTCTAATTACAAGATTTGTCTGTCTGAATTAAAAATAATTGATTTAGGATATACTTACTTGAACTAGAATTTTCTAGTTTGATCTGGTCTATTCTGAACTGGTCTGGTCTGATCTGGTAAATGTCTGGTCACTGTGTATTTTATAACTGTCCAAGTCCAGTCTAGTCTGGTCTGGTCTGGTCTGATCCGGTATGGTTTGATCTAATCTGGGACTCAAAACAATCCAAATAAAAACATCCTTAATGTCATTGGTAAATAATTTAAACAATACACGTTGATAATCGCAAGGCTAACCTTATCACAATAAAGAATACACATATTTGTTTCTTTAAACACACATGTACTTAGTCATTAAAGGATAGAAACACCTGTACCAATTAATGTTGGACACGATAACTAGATGTTTGACATGTTGGCCTTGTTTGGAAAATAGTTGTTAGCTGTTAGATGTTACCTGGTTGTTAGTTGTTTGTATATGGGCGTGTTTGGCATTCAGCAGTTAGCGGATAGCGGTTTATGTTAGCGGATTGTCAATAGCGTATTCAATCAGCGGGTTTGACTACTGGAATAAATTGGCGGATTGTCAGAAGATGTTTGGTAATTTAGCTGTTTGGCCATACAATTAGTGGAAACGCTATTTTTCAAAACGCCAACCCAAAACTCTCCTATTAGCAGCATTTTCATTTCAGCGTTTTCAGCCAAAAACGATAGTGCCAAACAGCTATTTACCAAACAGTTTTTCACTTTTTGAAAACTCTAAAAGTGATCAAACCGCCATTTTTCGACTGAAATGCCGTTTACCAAACACCCCCTATAGCTGGTTGGTTGCATTAGATGTTTTAATTTGGCTGGAAAATAAGCTTGTTGTCAATGAATGTCTGGTAAAATTAGTTGTTTTTAAATAACGGTTAGGATGTTAAAAGTGATAGGACACAAGTATACATTTAGGAGTTTATATTTTTATAGTATATGACTATAATTTTATAATTTTAGTAGTTAATTACTAACTTATAGTAATTATCGAAGATCGGCTTTGTTATCCCTTGGTCGCTGGTGCTCGACTGGAGTCCAGGTCAGACGCGGAGGGCGGAGATCGGTGGAGGAGGGCAGATTTGTTGTCATGGCTCGAGGAGATCGGCGATGTGGTCAAGGTTCGAGGATGCGGCGTTGTTGTCGTCGTTGGAGAAGATCGGCGCCGCCTGTTCGCTTACTCTGGTCGCACGGAGCAGGGATGAGTTTGGTTATGCAGGGACGGAGGATTGATGCATGGTCTTTGGCAGCCAAAGGTCATGGAGGATCAATTAGCATGGTACCAGTGGTACGACCTCCTCCTGAACCACCACCATGGGATGCACGAGGTGCTAGAGTTCGTGAACGTTTTTCTTGTAGTTTTTATCTGTTTGTTATTTGTTTTCTTGCGTCCATTTTTGTTGTTGGGTTTGACAGTTTGTTTGAGTTTTTTGCCTCTCTTTATGTCATTGGGTATGGTTGGATCTATGGGAATAGTTTTGGCTGTGTCAAGCCCACTACATGGTTAGCGATTCGTGTTGCTCTCTCAGGGGTGACCGTCTCAAAGTCTCACCATAGGGTTACAGTCGTAGTTGTTGGAGTTTCAGTTGGTGTCTGTTTTATTTTCCCTTTGCTTGATGTAATGATTGATCGGGCTGAACTTGCAAGTATACAAGTGCCGATATAGTAATAAAATACCGGTAAATACCGGGTCGATCCACAGGGAAATGGTTGATATTATAAAGTCGAGTATTGAATGCAAAGAATGTAAATGATATATTTTTTTCAGGAACTTTGTTCTTTGAGGTTGATTTAAACAAGAATAAGAATTACTAAGGCAATCGGGATTCACCTAAATGCATTAATAGTTATTTAATAATAGTTCTTTCCCAATAATCATGAATACAATGTCGCTAATATATTCTCAACTCCGGTTAAGGCAGCGAGAGCGTGGTTTTCGTTACGTGTAAGTCCCGTTACGGCTTACATTCATCTACCGAAAACCCCGTTGAATATCAAGACATCACACCCGTATCATATAAGACCGGATATATTTCTATTCTCGGTACTATATATGTTTATCCTTTAATGTTCATAGTTTAGACTTCAACGTTAATTGCAAGCATAAACTAAATTTAACATACTTCTATGTTGTACACCATAGTCATAAACAATCAAAATATAAAGGATAAATCACAATTTATTGGTTTAGAACTTTTATCAAACACCTAGTGTGCATAGAGGATCATCCCTAGCCTTAGCTAAGAAATTAGCCTCTAATGCTCATATTAATCACAATACAATATTGAAATGTAATGGAACATGAAATTACAAAGGAAATAATACCTAAACACCAATGATTTCGGAGGTTGAAGTTTCCTCCTCAAGAACTTGAAGAAAATACCAAGAACAAAAATATAAAAGCTATGATTTAATCTATGGAATGGGATGTTTATGTTTGATGAATTGAGGGCTTTATATAGGCTAAAGAATGGCATCTTTTAGTCTATTCGAGCCCAACAATCAGGTATGGAGCAATATTTGATCAAGAGATGAGGAAGGTGAAGTTTTCCCATCAAAAATCCTCTTGCACGACCTTTTGTTTGAGCTGAAATCGTCCCAACCGGCCCCGGTCAGTCTAGAACCGGCCCCGGTCGCAAACAGGCTCGTTTAGTGCGAAAAAGCCTTCCAACCGGCGCCGGTTATAGGCTGACCGGCGCCGGTTGCAGCGCCCAAAAATGCGCTTCCTTTCTCTTCTTCCGAAATTGATCAAAAAGTGTCGGTTTTTGTCCCAGGATTTTGGGGATGTTCCGCTACGAATTTGGACATGATTTCTTCACCAAAGTTGTAGATAATGAAGTCTTCTATCCACCAAAACTTGAATGACGTGATTTTATTCATCCAATCAAACGTTATGGCTAAAACACTGAGAGGTATGCATCCTGAAATCCCACCAGCAACATCTGACTTTGTTGGTTGATTGAGTCTTGTTCCTTTCATATTTTGGCCATGACGTCTTCATAACATTTGTACCTTATTGAGTTAGCATTCACATGAAACTCGAATCGAGTGATTTCGAGTTCTATAGAATACGTTATACTCAAATTATGGGCAAAACGTCATTCTCTTGGTCTAAAAAGTCGTTCATCGCAATGTTTTATGCTCTAGCTCTCATTCTGGAGGTATTTGTCCGATTTCTCTTCCTTTCTTCAACAAATACTTATAAATACTTATGTTAAACACAAGTAAATATAACGGCTATCAATGATCCTGATGAATCTTTTAGTATGAATAGAGGCATGTTTTGATGATAAAAAAATTACTAACTTATAGTAAATAACGGTTAGGATGCTAAAAGTGATAGATGGACACAAGTATACATTTAGGAGTTAATTTTTTTGTTCACCCCTAATTTTAGGAGTTTATGATTATTTTATCCCCATAAGGTGTAATTGAAATGAGTGAAAAGGGAAACAAGATTAACTACAAACATGAATAGATTTTAGCAAGGCAAGTTCTCAAACACATTTTGTGCATTCCTTGAATTGCAAAATGCAAATCATATTTCCTATACCTATACAACATGTAGTCCTGCATATGCTTTATGCTTATGCATGCAAACAAATCCACAAATGATCATACTATCAACAATTAATCAAACTCAAAACTCATAACTGTAGTAACTTCTTATCAGAATGACCTTTTTTTTAAATGCTATATAAGATGTAGACCTATCAAACGGAAAATAATGAGGTTAGTTTAAAAGATAGTTGGTTAAGAGATAAAAGAAAGTCTTTAGACTCTTCACTAATGAAGAGAGAAATACAGCATGAGTCTTGAATGGGTCTAGAGCAAATGAAGGCTATTAAAGGATATTGAAGAGTTTAAAGGATAAGCTACACGAAAACGCTGCCCTTTTCGGCGTTTTCATTTTCGGCGTTTTGATTCTCAACAGCTAATGAGAGAATCTGATTACCAAACAATAAAATCAGTTGTTTAAAGAGTCAAACAAGCCAAAAATTGGCCGATCGATCATTTTCCAAACACAACCATTAGGCTAGTAATATTTGAGATGAAGGGTATTTTAGGAATGAGGTGTATTTATGTGGAAGGATAGTAAGAGCTTAGAGAAAAGAAGCTATTTTGTTGATCGGAACTTGCTTTTGGTTTGATACAAATGAGGTTACAACACACCTATTTATAGGTGCTAATGGAAGAATCTAGATACATTCATTAATTACACACTCTAGATACATTCATTAATGACACTTTCTTCGCAGGACAAATCTAGAAATAGAATTTTCTAGAATGTAACCTATCCTATTGGGTTTAAGTAATGGTAAACTACATTGACTCAAATACTTATTAATTTTAAATGGGCTAAAATACAAGAAGTGGACTAATCAAGTATATTTTCAACACCCCCCTAAAATTGATTTTCTCATGCCAAGAAAATATCTAAAGCTTGTAAAGTCTTCACAGTTGGGTAGCTTGGTGAGATTTAGGGGTGAACAAAAAAATCGAACAGTCGCAACTGAACGTGTAACACCGTCCCCAAATATATTTACTTTTAAGTAAATGATGTAATAAACCTTGTGGAATGATTTATGAATTTACGAAGTTGTAAAATTTTATCATTCCTTCGCGTGAATAGTAAATTGCACGTGGATCCCACACCGGGAGCGGGGGCCGCCCGATATTCCCGAGATCACATAAATTATTCTTATGGGTCGAGATAATATTTTTATAGTATGGATATCTTATTTGGGCCATGGGAAGGTCTGGGGTTGACCGATTGGTCAAAAGAAGCCCAATTACCGGTACCGACAATTTAACAGATAGCAGCCCGGAA